CTTGCAGGACATTGGGCGAAAGACTGTCACTTGGGTCGCGATCATAAACACAGAAGTCGGAGTCCCAGAAGAAGGTTTGTATTTTGCACATATTTGATTTTCTTTTTCCTTTTTCTTTCATATTTCTCCTCCCTGTTCGTTTTACATTTCGAAATGTCATGAAAAAGGATAATTTCGTTAGGTTTACATAAGTTAGTCTACACAAAAAATGGCCATTTGCTCCGTGATCCGCTCCGTTGCAGTCCAATTGGAATGAAACCTCAGTGGCCGATAATTTAGCATCCGAATATCCGTAACAGTATTTACCGTGGTCATGATGGTCGTTATTGAGTTATCCGGAATATATACAGATGTGCCGACGTTTGAGTACGACAGCAGTACCATCCGAAACTCGCATGGTCGTTGCGGATAACATGACAATGACAATCCGACCATCAAACTGGCAGGAAGGAATTCAACGTATGCCCGGTTTGAACTTTAATTCACGAAGAATACTCTGCTCAAAACTCTCCAGGTCGCACTCGGCATCACCAAGAGGACGTTCATCAAGATATGACAGAAGGAACGATCGTGGGCCGTATCATAGTCGTCATTCGCACGGTCATTCGAGAAGGGCTGCGGATGACGAGAGGGATGAGCATAGAAATGGAAGTAGACGTAGTGGGCGGTATTGGTAAGTTGTTTTAGACGCACGCATATTGACACTAGCTCTTCGGCTTTTTATTCAGAATTGCAACTAAGCTGGCGATCTCTTTTTCAGATTATGAAGTTTTTCGTCGGGAGAAGTGTTTGGCGTTTGTGATATAGGACCAGAATTGTTTTGATTAATATATTTTCTTACGAGTTGACTCTCTCTGGCTTAACTATGATATCAAAGCGATTACCTGTAGTTTAACTTTTGGCTTGGTAATGTATCTATGCTTGCATTTATTGTATCGTGATTTTTAATCGTTTCTTGCATTGTATCTCTATTTTAACTGAGAGAACAATATTAAAACTAGAATGAATATTATATTTTCATTCACAGTGGAACAAATAAACAAAACGACTATTCATTGCTATAATATGTCATATTATCATCCATTTCTGCCTTCTGAAACGTTGGTATTCCGTTTGCAAATTGCTATAACTGCTGGAGGCTTGTGTCGAATACCTCTTTTTTCCATGTTAACGGGAGCGTGAGACGATCACCTAATCCTATATATAGACATCGTAATACTCCAATAATGGAACGGTTTAATAATATCCTTGGTACGTCCAGTTGACATATCACATGACTGTTTAATTAAGTCGCGCGGATGATTTCAAACGTGAAACAATATATTAAACTTTTTTTTCCTGCCATAACAGCAAAATGAATATCAATATAGGAAACTAACAATTTCGCTGAAGTAAGCGTAGATGCGGAGCTCAAGCGACATCTCTAATAAGCCAACCAGAACAAAGCCTCCAATCGATAACCGTTTTCGGATTGAAAGAATTACAACCCGAGTTACGTGTAAAAGCCAGAATTGATATAAAATTATTGAAAAAGGTGGGCTAGCGACAAGTTGCACATCTTGCGACTCTATATAAGGCTTCAACAATTAACATAATGAATATTGTGAGACAAAGGATGTGAGGACTGAAACACAAAGTGGACTTGAATGACATGCTGGGTCTTCCAAGTTCAGAGAGAATTGTGAAGTCTTAATAACGATATAGCTGAAGTGACAATCTTGCCTGGGTTCTACTCGTGTACCCGTTTGCGCCATCAACGCTGTTAATAACACGACCTATCGGAAAATCTTCATAAATACAGTATTATTATATGAAGATAGAAACCTGACATATGCTTGAAATTTAATATCGTGCACTTTCGCATAAAAGTTATGTGAACTCGCGTCCTCAAATATAACCCACCTAGCTAAAACAAAGGTTTTTATACAATTGCTAAATTATGCCGTAAACCGGTTATTTAAATGGTTTTTGTTGTAAAATAATTATTAAACGTCTTTAATCAAATTGCGGAGCTCTGTCAAATTACACTTTGCTGAAGCTTAAATCATAGCTTTTTTGACGCGGTGTCTTGGAATAGAGTTAATGTGATGTGCATTCTTATATGCAGAATGTTGACTAATGGTCAAAATTTCTAATGCAATTAACTGTTTTATTACTTACATTCCTATTAGAATGCGAATATACTTCTGATGTTATGCAAGCTACAGAAGCAACATTGCTATCAAGTTGACATGCCTTCTTCTTGCTCTACATTTAATCGTTAATTTTGTAATTATAACAAATGTTTTGGTAAAGAAAAAGGCACGTTAAACGGCATTCAAATGATATGAAGAAACGCAGACCGAGCCGTCGCAGTATTAAATAAAGCTTCATTTATTTCTCTTACTGTAGTTGCTTAATTCGTTTTGATTGTACCCATCCCAGGTGTCAGCCCTTTTTTTTTTGCGAAAGATGTTAATTCCACAATTAACAATGACAATTTAGTCTACAAAACTATATAGTTAATTTTGTGTGTTGCGTTAATGAATAAAATCTTATTTGTTTATTTTCCGAATTTAGCTAGAATAAATTACCGTTATGAAAGAGGCAATCATGAATTTGCACACAAACGCGTTCTTTCCACATTGTCAATGGGGAAACATACTCTAACAATAATGTTAGAAATCAAGGGACATAGTGCCGACCATATAATACAAGATCCGAAGATACTAACTAATACTGTAGCTTCAATTATACATAAAGACGCTATAATCTGAAACACAAAGTCTTATGCCTCTAGTGTTACAGTATGTCTATCTTGAATGGAGCGTGTTGCATAGAAGCAAAGGCATGGGTAAACATGGAAGCGACTACCTGGTTAGGACGCAGTATTAATATGAATATCAAACAAATTAATTAGAGACATTGCTGTGTCGGAATAGCTCAATTTGTTGTTAACCTTGGAACATGACGATCAGTGGAAGTGCTCACAGACTCGGGCAGAAATAGAATGTCGATTATCGCACTATTGAGCGATTAAAAAGCCAAGTTCTAGCAAACCTTCTCAAAGATGGATAGTTCAAAATAAATGTACATCTCTGGGGACCTGTAGAGAGTCATTGTTGAGAATAAATAATGGAATAAGATGGGGTGGAATGGTGATACTCTTGTGGTTCACTAAAATTTTGAACCCTGAAATCCATTTTGTGGCGCCATGTTCACTTGTTCTGGTTTGCAGCACGCCCCATATGTTGTGGGAAAGGTATTCGAACCAAGTCGATTTTATATTGCGCAAGATAGTATTTTGTGTAAGCTTAAGGAGAAAGACTTATAATAGGGTTGCAAACGGCTTTGCCAGCGAGTCCTAGTTATGAAACTTGTCTAAACGTGGAAACTACTATCCCCGAAATCTCGATCTGACAATGCCAAAACTGCGAATAAAGGTGTGTCCATCACCTATCCTTGCATCTTTTTCATATCTTTTTTTTTCTCTCTCGATTACCCTACTAAATCCCATCTTTTCTTCATCAGTTTACTCAACGACCCAACGGCCCACTCCCAACCTCATCAAATTCACCTATTACACGTAATCAAGGAACGAAAAGGATTCAGTCCTTAGAATCAATCAACGCTGCTCAGCAATCAATCTCGGCTGCACAGGCGTCGAATTCGCCTGAGGAGATGAAAAGTCTTATTGAAGCTGCGTCGGCTTCTTTAGCGGCTATGACCAGTGAGTATTGGTTGGCTTGGCTTGGGTTATGTGTTTGGTAATGGAATATCCTATGGAAATGATAAGAGGGAGGAGATGCGGATTGGAAATGCTGATGGATTAGAATGTGGATAATTTGATCACAAGTATGGCATGATGGATTGTTTTGATGGCCAATGTAGGATGATAAATACTTATCAGGATATAAGATCCTGCTTGAAGCTATACTTTTTCGTTATGTATGCGAGCGACATGATCATACAAGTGTCAATTAGTGGCATAATAACTGCGTCAATTTTATTATAATATTTCTCACTTACGTTAATAACCCATCTCATCTTTATCTTCCGCACAGTTCCTTCGTCCCAAACTTCTACTCCAACCCCGGCTGCGCCAACACCAACGCCGACCCCAACTCCGACACCAACACCAACGCGAACCCCTCAGCCGTTTCCCACACCATCTTCAGCAGATAATATAACCGCACCCTCGCCAATACCACCATCTAACTCCACTGCACCGCTTTCTAATTCTATACCCTCATCCGTAATGGAGTCATCACCACCTCCGTCGTCGTCGTCACCGTCGTCGTCATCGTCATCAACAGCCTCAGCCTCAGCCTCAGCATCATCGACATCAACGTCAACATCCTCATCGTTGTCATTATCAACATCACACAGAATACAGCTTTCACTGTTCCCGGCTATAAGCTTTAACTATCCTACACGCGATTTCTCCCTTCCAGAGAGTATCTTACCAAAAGATGTCGAAGAAAGTAAACGAAAAGCAAGCAGACGCCCTGCAAGACAACGAAAAGCATCAGCTAAAGCTCGAGAGGCAGCTGAACCCTATCTTTTAAAACGAGGTAATCGTAATAACCGTGGAGAGTTTTTACACAGACGTGGGAAGGGACGATCCCGAGGACGCCATAACGATGGATTTGGAAGACGTATGATAAGCAGTAGTGGATCAAATCAAACGCGCGCATCGAGTGGACGGTCAGGACGAGGTAGAGGTTTTTCGGTGTCAGCAGGTCAGAAAAGCGGATTACGAAGAAACCGTCGTAAAAATGCAGGTCAAAAGAAACAAACCGATTACATTCCTCTCCATCTTCGCAAGGGTACATCGAAACCGATTGTGCCTACTCAAGAACAAATCAAAAAGTTCCCCCTTGTTCAGCAGTCAACCTTGGCTGACTATGACTACGCACCAAGTGATATGATCGAAACGCCACTCCTACGTGCAGTATCAAGTTCGAGGCCCGTTGTTCGGCCGGCGAAATTGAAGATAAGCGATATTATCAACGGGTTTGTGCAGAGAGTGAGAGAAGATCAAGATATGAAATTTTGCAGAGAAACGGCTTTGAGTGCATTGCTGGCTGCTGCGAGTGAAGCGTATGCGGAAGTTGTTCATTAGAATTCACAGTGTTTCACATAGCTAATTTCAGTATTAATGTTTTGTTGATTAGATAGAAATTTTAAGCGCTGATTAATAAACAAATACTATACATACTTAGACATTTGATAGCTACTAGAAAAACATCATGTTAAATACATTACATTATTACAATCAAATGTCAGGGCATAAGCTGACATTTAATTTTAATAAAGTAATACATAGTCACCCGGACTTAATTGTCCAACTAAACCTTTCGAGTCATATAAACAATCTATCTACCTTTGCTAGATTACACACATTATTCCAATAAAGAATATTGGTGATGCCTACCATGTCGATAATAATAAACTTTTTCGTTGGATGAACCTGGTATCATGTGATCAGGATTGAAACAACTGTATTCTTTTTTTGAAAACGGCTGTAAAAGAGGCTTTGTTATTTACATGTTTTTTACATTCTCCAGCAATCTCACAGATCTGATTAAGAAAGTAAATTAGGAAAATTCGGATTAGATATATTTACTCACCAGAATAATTATAAGCTGTTATCGAAATTCCATCTACAGCACCAACAGTAATAGCAGTCGATTTTGGACATAAATGAGCCTAGTTTCTCGATCAACGTAATGTTCAGTCTCAGAATTTCGACATTGTTACATAATTATGCGCATTGTTTGTCGTACACAACAGGATTATATATGCATATTCTACTACACGCGCAACGAAAACGATTACGGTCAAAACTCGTTATACGTGGATCTCGTTACAATGAGATTGCGTTGTAAACGAATTTTTTTGTCACGATTTGTAATAGATATACATGCTATTATGGAAACCCGTGCTATGATGGAGTTCATGGCTTATGCGTTATAACGAGCTTTGGCTGTACTAAAGTTAGTATGTCGAAAAAATCGTAAACAAAATTCTGTATGATGAAGTACTTGTTAATCCTTTACGATTAACCAGACGTTTTAGTCATGGATTTACTCCTATTAGCAGGCATGGTAGTCATACAGTTTAATAACACTTGATCATAGAATAATTTATGGTTAGCGTTTTTGAGAATATATACATTGTGTGGTTTACATTGCCTCTCGTGTTAAATTTGAGAGTCATACCAAAAAAACTCGCGTGTTAGAAAGAACATGCGTAATATGACCTATTCTGTACAACGTATATTCAGCGTTAACAAGTGACTGCTAGTTGATAAAACATCAACTGATTAAAACATTAATTTTCCCTTATTACTGTATTTGTTATCCATATTGCTTTTTCGGATAATATTAATACTGTATTATTGTAATAACAATGTAATATAATCGAGTATGTTAACAATTACAACAATATAAAATATACGGCTTATTTAAATATATGCGGAATTACTTAATTAATATGAATATATTAAGTAAAAAAAAAAAGCTTGTTATACCTATCGTGTAGTTACAAATGTCTGTTGCAGGGATTAAAATTTTTTCGTGGTTTGCGAAAAAAAATCAAAACTGACTACAATTGACTCTGCCTATACCGAACCTGGATATACCGAACTTTGGATATATCAAACCAGAATCAACAGATCCGATTTTTCCTAATCAATAAATCCGATTATAACGAAGCTCTGGTTAAAATTCTCCAGCCGGTCAGTTCGGTATAGGCAGCGTCAACTGTACAA